TTYTKYWAAATTASTGAAAAGGAATCGCAAAAATTCCAAGTAGTAGGAAAACAAATTAATATTCGTGTAATGAGAAGGTTTGTAAAAGAAAAAGTAAAATATAGGAAAACGATGAAAACGTGGTCACGTTTGCCGCTTGCGGGGAGAAAAAAAAACAAATCTCGTCTAAAGTTCGCTATGTGGCTTTACAGTAAGACACAGGAGGTAAAACGGACTTTTGAAGACCATATTTTGAGCTGCAAATTGATGGTGATTAAAAACATAAACTTTCTTTTTTACTATATTAAAATAGGCTTTTGTAACTCGATTGACAATACAATCGAGCTAAATAACCTTAATTATCAGTATCTCCAATATATTATATTCCCACGCCGAGCAGTTACTCTTTTGCTTCTTTTAATCAATCTAATTAAACTTAGGCTTCCATTTTTTTGTCTTGTAACTGTGTTCAGTAACTCATATCTGCAATACTCGGGCAGATATCACGGCTTCCACTCCTTATGCATTCTAATGATGCAAAATTTATTTGAAACAGCAGCGTCGCCTCTGACAACCCTTGGGCTCCATGAATAATAAAGGAGGGGGTAGAGGTGGGGTGGGATGAATTAAAACGGAGAAGGAAGTAGTAATAAAGCTCGCGATGGACTGCACGATTTATGCTTACAAGTACGCCTAACTCTAAGCAGCTTTTTAAAAAAATCCGTCATTACATTTCACTCCATGTAATCCCTCTTCATATATCTAGCTAAGGTGATTATCGCTTTAACTCGAATGCAAAAGAAGATGAGATTCTTGAATCACATATACGCCGCCATACTAAATACTTCAAAGCCTTATTTCCCCCACCATTAGCCCTGATTATCCCTCTTTTACTATCAATACTGTCTTTTCCAATTGTTTCCTATAGTTTGAACCGAACGTGACTAGCTATTCAAGTACAACTCATCAGTCGAAAAACAACCAATATATTTTTACAAACAATCGTCAAAAAAACGTCAAGAAAATGGCCTGTTGTTTTAACTATGAATATTCGAGAAAATTGTAATATCAAAAGAAGATATTTCAAAAATTAGATATTTAGTTCCTCTGCAAAGCGATTTTTAATATAACAACTTTTAATCAATACAAACTTTTAAAAATCACTGAGGAAAATACAGGAAAATAATAATGAGAGTCGATCGAGAAACAATGAGTCGTAAAACTAGTAAATCGTTATCCTAGCACACATATCATGTGACTTAAAAGAAGCGAATACAGAGCTGGAATGACAAAATGCCCACACCCAATCAGATACCGCAGAATAATTGCTCCTCATCCAATCAGGTGGCGCCACCACGACTCTGTCGCTAGCTTGTTTTAAGTCTTAATAAATCTGCTCTTATTTGTTAATGAATGTTATATTTGAATGGCTTCATACTTACCATGAAAACCCAGAATAGCCCCAAACAGTTAATGATGAAAAGAGTGGACACGTAGATCTCTTGGCCCATAACATCCTAATGGATCAGATTAATGAATATTGAGAAAAAAGGTAATTACAGAAACTCAACATCACGAAGGGAAATTCGATGTTTTAATTCAAAGCTTTCTCAAGGAAACAAGGTTTCCACTTCAATGATAAAATTGTTAAGTTGATTTCTCCAACTAAATTCCATTTTCCACTGACTTCACAGGTATCCAAGCCACAAAGAGGGTTTATACAGTCAATTCAAAAAATGTTGTCGTCGACCAACTCAAGCCTACGCGACTAGACCGAAAGGAACTATGGGTAGCAAACATTGAAGCCGAGTTGACTACATTATTTTATCTGACTAGTTATGCCTGGTTTACAGCACGAACCTTTCGTAGGCGAGCGGGAAGAGTTGAAGGAGACGTTTTTTTTAATGCCTTCATATTTTCGAAATTGTGAACTGAATCATAATTACTTTGTTTTTCTTTCCCTAAACCCGAAGACATGCATTTGATGGATTGTTTCTCGCCATTATTATCTTATTACTAGCGGGAACAATTTATTCAGAACGAATATTTAACCGCTTCAGTGGTTTTACCCATATTCCTTTCGGTCCAGTCGCGTAGGCTTGAGCCGGTCGACGACAACATTTTTTGAATTAACTGTATACGGTTCCAGAGCCTCTCTAACAGCATATCTAAAGCGAGGTTTTATTTGCAATATAGCTGACTAAAAAATGTCCTGACTTTTGCTTGAGCTAAAAAAAATTCGAGCTAAAGAAATTCATAATAATGGAAAAAAAAAAATTCCTTGACAATTTCCAAACTTACCCTGAGAGCAGAGGGTTTAACCGCGTCACCCCTGCTAATATAGGCTGAGTGGTAGGTCAAAACAGGAATCAGAGAACTGCCTTACATAAGCCATAGGGGCACACTTGTACGCATGTAACATGGTTCTCACTCACTTCGTAAAACAAAACTCCCTGACTTTTCCCTAACCACATCCCATTTTTCACTGATTTTAACGAACACAAGTTTAGAACCATTTCTAATCAAACGTCATGATATCAGGTTACTCTCTTCTAACTTTCCACAAAATGCTCAAAAAGCTTATTTTTTCAAATCTAAATTTCCTGACTTTTCACTGGCCTTGAAAAGCTTTTCGGATCAGTTTTACTGACTTTTCGAGGTCAGTGCGAATATAACTAAAAATAAATCTTTTGGTGATTAGGTGAAGAAAAAAAAATGATGAAAAACGATGTGATTTGAAATCTCGTTCTGATTTTTTTGGGAAGTAAAACTCACAAAAATGAAACTTGCCCCCTAACGCGACATCACCCCCCCCAAACATCTTTAGAGCAGTTCAGTCTGAAAACGTTTTCAGTGAGCTAAAAACCTACAGAAAGACTGAAACTGTCCTCTGGCTAATGCCAGAGTGAAAAACAGACCGGATTGAAACAAGTCCGAAAAATGAGATTTGACGGCACCGCGTCATGATTTTCATTTTAAGCTTTTTGGGCTGAAATATGGCATTTGCACCCGCCCCCTTCGCAGAAAAAATGAAACCACCTACCTTAAAAGATAAAGATTCCACACTTAATTCTATAACTCTATTGAAATCTGAAAGGAAAACCATTAATTGAATGATTGTAAGTCTAATATGAATTTTGACTTCACTACTAGCACCAGGATCCAATATGCGGTTTGGGACAAACGGCAAGGTAGACTAGATTACAGTTCAACCTCAGTAATACGGACAATCAAGGGCCCAAGGAAACGGGAACGGAGAGGGCAAACAAGTAGAAGGAGAGAAGGAGAGAAGGAGAGAAGGAGAGAAGGAGAGAAGGAGAGAAGGAGAGGAATGAAGGAGAGAAAGGAAAAAAGGGATGAAAAAAGGTAAAATCAAAACTACTTCGAGGGCGAGCAAACAAAGAAACAATAACAATAATCAAAACTTACATGAAACAGTTGCTCTAATAAAAAGGGCCTGAGCTATCATGACTTCAATCGTGAACAGGATGAAGGCGCGGTGGTTATTGACCCCCACACACCACATCAGAAACAGACAATGGTGGTCTATAGCAAGTACACAGCTGTTACAGAGTTTACAGTGCTTGGATAATGTAGGCACTACAATCTGAAATAAATTGTAGGCTCGTGTTACTGTATATATTGGATGAAAAACAAAACCCAGTATATCTATGGAGTTAAAAAAGGCTGGTCTTGACCGCGTATCGTTTTACAGGAAGGGTGAGCCTGAGGACTATAGCTTAGGAACTCGCCCCTCCTCTCGATACTCCACTCGTTGAATTGACACCATTGGGGATCAAGGGTAGTGTAGTTGTCTATCATCGTTGGGGTCTGTGGCTCGATTTCCAAGACTCTTTATCACATAAGTGTTCATTGAATTTGATCGACCATATTCCCTCGATCTGAGGTCTCCAATTTTTCCTCCCTGAACAAATCCCAATAACATGTAAAATTTCAATTCAATCAGTGAGTGAGCTGTGCTGAAGTTATTTCATTCTATTGAGAATGATTTAAAACAGATTTTAAAAAATCCAAGCATGCTGAATTGTTTACCTCGCAGTCTATACAGAAATCCTCCACGGGTAAAGTTCCTTTTGCAATGTCTAATATAGTCTACAAGAACAATGTACAGGGGATACAATCCAGTTGACTTAACAGGTTTAAATTGATAAAACGTTCAATAAGCGTAAACATATGTCATATCAAAAAGAAGAGGCCTCTTTCTTCACGTATATCTAACCAGCCACCAACTCCTCAATTCATTAACCCACCCATGAAAAAAATCCATGCACACAAGTATGTACTACGCACACATTCACCTAACCACCCACCTACTCTTTTGTTCCTCTTTTCCTATTTTCTCCCTCCCTCTGTTTCTCCCTCCCTTTCTCCATCCATCCATCCGTTGATTCACTTCATTTCCCACTATTCCCCCTTCAAATAAACAAAGTAACTTGCTTAAATACCTTTTACAACAATTGCCCAATTGCCCTTATGCGAGGACAGACGCCCCTTACAGTAGGGGAAACACAAAGTACCCTTAAATCTCCTTTCAAATAAGAAAATATCTTCCTTTAAGCATTCCACACAACACTAGCCTATATGTGAAACACCAAGTACACAACATTAAAGAGGATAAGCACATCATTCTTATACTTACGTAAGGCTGCCCATTTTCATTTAACCTTGAAGACCTAATGACACCTGGATCACTAAACAACTCTCTGAATAAGAAAATGAGACGAGAAACAAAATCAAAGAAGGCTGTGGGCACTTCAAATCCAATAAATGCGAATTTTGCTAAGCAGTGACGAACTATGGGATGCAGTGGGGGGGGGGGGGAAAGGCATTGAGGGGTTTGGGACATGCCCCCTTCTAAATGCGAGGACACTAATCTATTTTGGTTACATTTTGGTTAATTATAGTCGTATATATCCAAGAAGCATCAAATTAACTTTTATTCTTAGTAATCAATGATAGCCCCTCTTTTTTAAGAACCTAAATCCGCATCCGTTAATAAAAATCTTTTTCCATTTTCCTTTTACTAGTTTCATCCACTAACATACCTACCTTAAAGTCCACAGTACGATGACTAAATGAAAAACAGAGATGCAATTCCAAAAGAGCTCATACCAAAGATGTTTCAAAGGTCAAGGAACCATTAACAAAAAATATATCAATTCTTCAATTGCAAGTTACGTCATCACGGCCATGTTGGTACCATTTAACAAAAGATTTCTCATTAGCACCCATTGTTAACGGCACCACAATGACCGCCATGTTTTTGTCTTTTTACTCTCTTGGGAATGCTTGCAACCGATCAATACCCTGCAACAGCCCATGGCTGATCAGTGATCAAAGTCAGGCACGGCTAACTCACAGGCTCACAGATAATGAATTTAGTTGGTTTGATTTGTGGAGGGACCAAGGGACGAAAATTGGAGATTTCCTTGGAGACACCTTTGGTTCGATTGCGAGATGCAACCTCTACTCTTTGATGCCGAGAGCCCATAGGTGAAAGGCTAGTGCATTACCGCTAGCGGCCACCCTATACAGTCAATTCTCGCCTTAAGGACACCCCAATATTACGGACACCTCCCTATTACGGACAGGAGAAAAGTCCCCGACAAAAATACTGACAAAAAATGACCGTAAATAATTCCAACTATTGCGGACGCTCGTTATTACGTACATGAAGTAAGTGACGGTCCCGAGGGTGTTCGCTGTAACGAGAGTTGACTGTATTCCCTTGAAAAATGCAGATCGGATAAACCGTCTTGACCCTTTAGCCTCTTACTAGCCTCCCTGCCTCCCTTTTATTATGTGCTTTCACCAACGGAACCCCATTCATTTACAACTACTGTATCTACAGATAACAACGAAAGCAAAGAGGCAAATTCAGAGCAGTTTCAAAATGGGGGTGGGGATTTGACTTTTACCTCAGAAAGGCCCTTTTTAGGTTTTACCTAATTCTTATCCTTAAAAACTGCAAAGCAGGGGTACGGAGTCAGTGGTTTGGTATTTCAATCCACTCCTCCTGGATCTGCACCTACATCTAAACCTTATCTCTAAGAACTAAACTTCATTAGTTTTTCATAAACGCTACATTTAAAGTAGTAAAAAAGGATATGAGGTGCTAAATGGAATGCAAAACACAGAAGACTTTGCAAAATAACACCAAAAAACAACCCAGCAAAGGCAGGGTTCGGAAGAGCAGAAATGTGTCTTAATCTGTGACTTCTGAATGCAAAGAGGTAGAAGAGAAGAAATGCAAAGACAGCCAGGACCCAGCCAATCTGTGAAAAGTTCTGTATGAGAAATGCAACCAAACATATGACTATTGATGGAGAGATGAGAAGAGACAGCCAGGACAGCCAGGGGTATGGTTTGTGGCCACCACAACGACACAACTGCCAGTAACGAAGATGCTTTGCTAGCCATCTGTGTACGTTAATGAGAAATTAAATTATTGATTATTTAGGTTTAAGGGAAGGTACACATTTTTATTAGAGAGAAAGGGTGGCTGGGGAATTCGCAGCAATCTTAAATGTAAAAAAAAAAAAAAAAAGAATTGCAGCCCTACCTCTTTCACTTGAAATTCATGACCCTACTATTAAGTCAACATACCCGCCATCCCCACCCTCACGATAAAACGTACAGTACTTTCCTTACAGAAAAAATAGAAAGATGGATTAATGAATGGTCAGGAGAAAGGTAGAAAAGAAGATAAAATAAAAAATATATAATGAATACGGCAAGACAAATAGAGAAAGAAAAGAAAGAAAAAGAATGAATGAATCAAGAATGGATAACGATAAATATGGTTATAAAAAAAAGGGAAAAAGAAAGAAAGAAAAAGAGGGGGAATGAGGTAGGAGAAAAAAGATTTGGAAAGAAAGAAAAAAAAAAAAAAGAAGCAAGATACTGATAAGGAAAGAAAAAGAGGACGAGAGAACAATTAACCATTTTTAGTCCCATAAGTCCCCTATTGAGCCCTCTCACTGAGCTTTTACTTTTGGGGTAAAGTAGAGAAAATGTGTCTAAACTACAGTACAAATAAATAAAAAGTGAAATATATCATTTTAACATAAAGTCAATAGAAACATATTATCTGATTAAGATCTTGTTATTTCCTCAACAATAAAACAATATCTTGGCAAGTTTCTACTGGTTCCACAATCTGATAATGCATGTCAAATATTCTCTTATCAGTGAAGTATCATTCTTTACTTTGATGACATTCTTAAGACAGGACACACTGACATTCATGGCAAGGCTAAGGGTGTCTCTCTTACTGTATTTAATAGTTTTGCAATAAATTATCTCCAAGAACTTAGTAAGATCTTAGTAACAGCTTCATGCTGTGATCGATCTGCCCTCCTGCATGGATGAGCAGCAATTAATACTTAATTATACCAGGCAATTAAAACTCGCATTTACTATTATTATATAGCAAATAAAATAATACAGCTATAGGTAAAAGATGTTTATTGGCTGGCCTTATTTAATCGCAATAGTTCCTTTTGTAAATCTAATTATTGAATAAATTTTAAAATGCATGATTCCAGAATATATCTATCATACCCCACTGTGCATGGAGGAAATTGGAAATTCCCAGGGGGTGGGGGACAGAGAAAAAAAAATACAAGGTTTTTATTGAAGAAAATTGGAAATTCCAGAGAAGTAATAGACAATTTTTTAAGTTCCTACATGGTGGTATTGGAAGTTTTCTGGAAGTTGTACACAATGCAAAAGTAGGCAAAGGTAGAGTAAAATAATTTGTTATCACACTTATAAATAATGAACGAAAACAAAATAGGAATCATTACTGTGAAGAGTTTTATAATTCTGATCTAAAATATTTCTATCTCTAATACACTCAACAAAATTACTTGATTCTGGTTGGACAAGAGGAGTACAATTAAATTCCAAATTGTACTCTATAGAGTCCCTATTAATCTACAACTGTACTCAGTTTTGTTGAGTGTATTATAAACAAAAAATCGCACAATCTTCTCCTACAATTCTGAATTTTTAGATACTTGTGATTTTTTGAAAGTTCTCAAATTGGACTCACCTAAAGGATTGTCCAATTTTGAAAACTGCTAAAACATCACTCGTACCTATAAATTCCAAATTGTACTCAAGATCGTGCGCTTTCCTATACAATTAATAATGTCATGTTCATTACCATGAGTGAAACAATAACACCACATGTGGTCAAATCTATCAAAGATCTAGACGTAAAATTTTGCAATGAATCTGTATGTCAATGGGTCTAGACATGAGCAGCAAACTTACATGTAAATAATTATGTAGTATTTTTATTAGGGATTACTGTGTTATAGATTTAGTACTGCCACAACAATTAACCTTTAAATAAACAAGACTGGTATAGGTGCCTCTTCAGTTGCAAAGGAATACAGTGATTTAAATACTATATTATTATACATTATAGTAATGTAAAATAATAACTACAGTACATTACATTGGCAGAATGCGTGATGTGTAAAATCTACTTTTGTAACTAATTTTCTTTTGGTTCCCTTAATTGCAGTATACACTGTAATCTAATGATGAGAACTTACATTGGATATCATACGAAAAGATCACAGTCAAATCTGTATATAAAAGGTAAAATATCTGCAATAAATCTTGTGCCACTTACTCTGCAGTGGTTCCCTTTGCAGCATAATCTAACGGTGTGTTACCATGAATATCAGCCAAATGAATGAGAGTCTTTGGACTTGAACTTTCTATTATCCATGAACAATGTCTATGAAAAGGAAATAAATGTCAGAATAACAAGAACTAGAAGCAAGAGAAAAATAGACTTAAGAATTCATGGCTGGTCAAAATTTGTGTTTAATTCCTCCCTCAATATCGATGTGCAGCAGAACTATAAAGAACGGCTTTCATGGGTGGTATGGGTGGCATATATGGGTGACAGATATGGGTGGCATGGGTGGTATGTGTGGCATGGGTGGTATGGGTGCCATGGGTGGTATGGGTGACAGATATGGGTGGCATATATGGGTGGCATGGGTGACATATATGGGTGGCATATATGGGTGGTATGGGTGGCATGGGTGGAATATATGGGTGGTATGGGTGATATGGGTGGCATATATGGGTGGTATGAGTGGCATGGGTGGAACATATGGGTGGCATGGGTGGCATATGTGGGTGGCATGGGTGGCATGGGTTGCATGGTGGTTTACCACTCGCCTTTCACTCCTGTCATTCTGGATTTGAGCCTTGACTCAGACTGGATCATAAGTGAATTGAGTTTTTTTGATGTGTTGGTCTTTCCCTTTCTATGAGGGTTTTCTCCAGGATGTCAGTCATAAAAATTTAACTGGTTGATCATGAGGGAAACTGTGTAGAAGGAAAAGGAAGAGGTGTTGTTGATAACATGCAGTTAACAATATAGTTACCTATTTTTGTACTGTACAGCAATATGTAAAGGAGTCATTAAACTGTTGTCTGTGACATCTGGATCAAATCTCTACAACAAAACAGAGTACATTTTCAAGAACACAATTAATATTAATGCTAAAGCAATATAATTTTAGTTGCTTTTCTCAATATATTAATGTACTCATAATACACTCTACAAAATTACTCGATTCTGATTGAACAAGAGGAGTACAATTAATCCCCAAATTCTACTCTGTAGAGTCCCAATTAAGTTTTTTGAGTCAGTATTATAAACAAAAAAATGCACAATTTTATTGTACAATTAGGAATTTATAGATACTCATGATGTTTTGAAAGTTCTCAAATTGAACTCGCCTAAAGGCTCGTCCAATTTTGAAAACTTTCAAAACACTCGCACCTATAAATTCTGAATAATTGTACACAAGATCGTGCAATTTCCTTTACTGATTAGTAAATGTACTCAAGTTTTTTTGGTGTGATTTTCTTAGTGGAAGAAATAAAACATGAGATTAAGATAGCAATAGATATCCTCACAGCATTTCTTTGAGCATGAATGCATAAATTACTGCAACTCTTTTCTTTGTACACATCCATTCCAATCATATTAGGAGTATCTATGACCTGTCCACCCACCCTCAAGTATGTAGTGTGCAGCATCTAAAGTACACATAATAAACTCTGCTTTTGATAATACAAAAGCTAAAATACAATGTACATGTAAATGATTTAAAGGAGGAAATTACTACTATTTAGATTTGTGTCTAGTTCACAAGTCACAACTGGTTATAAATGTCTGCTATTTTAATTTGCCAATCACAACCATCAAAATCCTGCTGACACTCTGTAGAATAAAAATCTATGTTGCATGCGTTATTTTGCATGCTAATCATACCATTTAACAGGCCAACCGCGTTAAAGTGTGTAAAGGAAGCAAAACAAAGGCAAGCATGTCAGTAAAATTATTGTAAAATTAAAACAAAATTTAAATTGATAACTCAAGAATACCTTATTTTTTAAGCAGTAATCTACAAGGTCTATATGTCCATGTTCAGCAGCAATATGAAATACTGTCTGTCCCCTGAAAGCAAACGTACATGACATGTACATACATACACAATGGTGGTTAACAGATTCAAGGGAGAGGGAGAAGAACCCAAGGGGATAAGATATCCTCTTTAAGCCTGGTTCACGCTAGCATTGAAATCAGAATCATAAGCAATATATATTATGCAGACTCAGTATCTCATTTATCACCTAGGTGTGAAAAAAGATCAGCACTGTAATGAGCAGTACACAATTCTAGAGTCTGCGTATGTTGCTTCTCATTTCAATTATAATGCTAGTGTGAACCAGGATTTACTTTATCAGGATATAGACATATACTTTATTTACATTAAGTAGCATCACAGACATACTGTAATTTGTAAATCGAATGTATAAAATGCAACATATGTTTAGATGCATGATATTGACAATAACTATAAAAGGCTTAAATCTATAAGTCAATAGCTAAGAAAAGGATAGGACTGATAGGATAGGATCTCCAATCAACAGTTCAGTACAGTAAATCAATTTAATATTGCATAGAGCAGATGTGAAGAGGAGCAAGGACCAGAGAATCCACAAAAACCCTCGAAGTGAGTGAACTAGTAACAGACTCACATCACTTAGGATTTAAGGAGGCTCTGGGTAGTTTTGGTCTGGCACACCTAGCCGCATTGAAACGGCTACTATTTCATAATAATTTGTCTTATCAACCATAGATTTAATACATATGTTCCGAGCTTTCGTCTTGAATAACTCGATCTGCAAGCACTTTCCACACAATGTCCGGAAAGGATTAAAGGTTTCAGAACAGTGAATTGTGAAGCAGATTATTAACAAATCTTAATTTAATTTTAGTTGTGAATGCAAAGAATTATCATAATAATACTTCTTTTTTCCGTTCAGTGACCAAGAATAATAGTTCTAAGTCGTGGTTGGAGTTGCCATGCATGACAAACTATATAATGTAGTTTTGCTTATATATGTGCACCTCAACCTCTACTTGGAACTGTAATTTGTGGTCACTGAATGGAGCTGTAATAAGGAGTATTACTAGTTGTCAGTGTTTACAGTGTATACAGTACGTACCTGTGATCTTTTTTGCAAAAGTCAAGTCCAAGTTCTACAAGGTAATGGACTTTCCATCTAAAAACAATGAAAATACACTAAATAAACCATAAAAGTAAAAACAAAAATAAGATAATGGACGCAGGAGTTATTAAGGAGGAATTTAAAAAGCAAATAAAACGCGAGTTTCCTGCAAAATTATCGATGGATTTTTGAACGAACAGGAGGACAATATCATAAAAAAAACCCTGTTAGAAAATCGGTCCGTAAAGGCAAACGCGAATCAAAAAGAAAATTTTGAATATACTGTTAAAAGCCTAAATTTTTGAGCTACTACCTGTGCTAAATTCGAAAATATCCGAGTAAAATAGGTTGTGCTTCTGATCTACCAGTGAAATTAGTACTCTTTTGAAAATAAAGTTATTCAGCTGTCACTCACATTGAACCACTTCTAGCGGCATGATGAACACAGCCTCTTCCACCTTTGTCTTCTCTCTTCATATCAGCTCCATTATCAACCAAAATACTCAAGAATCTCAAGCTGGCCATTTGGCAGGCATAATGAACTGGAGTCTCGCCAAAGGCGTTCTCTTTATTCACATCAGCACCTGCCCCAAGTAAAAGCTCTAATATTTCAATATTGCCTCTTGTGGCTGCACGATGAAGAGGAGTCATGCCATGCCAACCGACGGTATCGACGCTAGAAGGGTCGCGTTCAAGGATGTATTTACAATCGTTGACATTATCGTGTGAAATAACGTCAAACAGCGCCATGTTTGGGGTCAGAGGAATCATAACATATATACTTCATTTACTAAATATGTATATTCCTCACCGTACATTAAAGCAAGAGACGATATAATATGCTAAGTACATGAAGTTCCTACCTGTATTGATATGAATGCCGCTGGTTTACTGAACCGAAGGCTTGTAAGAACCACAGGTAGACCAATCGTAATTACTTTAACAGGGGATTATATCGCTTATACATGGATTACCAGTAGTCAAATCAACACAGATCGGGGCTAATCTATTGGGTGATAAGTATGCTCCTAACAGATCATTATATTACGCAGACTACAAAGTCATCACGTCTACTGTCATTAGACAAAAACAAAACTATCAATTTCTGGTAACGCTATCAATATTCATATCTTTCATCCAATGGCATTTTTGGTTTGAAAAAAACTCTTAAACCGCACCAAATATAGCCCGTGCGTCGTAGAAGTCACGTGACTGGACGCACCCACATAACGCGCTGGTTAAAAATCCTGCTAAGGCACTTGTGAGAGAAGCAGGCTTGATCTCTTTGTCAGTACTACCACACGCAGTTTCACTTCGCCATTATGTCGGGTATTGTTCGAGCAATAAGATCTGGGGACGTGAAGGTCGTTGAAAATGAGATGCGGAAACCGGTAACAACATTAATTTTGTTTGTGCATGCATGCGTGCATGGGGCGCAGTTCGTGTATGAACAACGAAGTAGTTGTTTGGAAATCGGGTCCCATTACGCTGCAGTTAGTAGTGTAATATGCGCGATTGCTACCGACTCCTGCATGCACACTTATCAGTATTTATCATCAACAAGTCCTCTTGAATAAATTAATAAGCCTAATTAGCAATAGTAAGCAGGCGATTTTGGAACAAATACTGGCAGATATTTTAGCACAGAGAAGGATTTTTCTGAGAAACGACAAAAACAACAGCATGCCGTGCCCTCTTTCCCTAAACGTTTGAATCAGCCGAGGAATGTCTAGTGGGTAAACACCGATGACACTGTAATCTTGTGTGACGCAGGGCTTTTGCGTTAACTCCCCTGCCACTGGTGGAAGGACGCCTCTGCATCACGCCATCGATGCTGGAAAGATCGAGGTCTGCAAATTCTTGGTGAATAAGGGAGCAGACGTTGATGTAAGTACAAATTCAATAATTGTGCACGACGAAACTTCCTTCCTACAATTCAAACCCTAAAGTGGTTGATTGCTGCAAAGTATATCGAACAAAGGCCAGCGCATTAAGTCAATATCTGGTTTCGTTTGTTAATTAATGATTAGACGTCAAGTCTTCTGTTTCTGAGTTCTTGATCAAATGATTGATCTAGACAAGAGAAAGCATTATATATAAGAAAAAAAGAAAGTCAATTTGATAATGGATCATCTACAATCTCCTGTTGAGCAGTGAGTTTTGTAATTTGACGTGTGTGTTTGCTTTTTAAAAGTTCGTAAACTGAAATAGTTTGTGTAAATATTTTTGTCTAAGAGAGCAGATGTCATGCTAATTCTTTCTGTATCAACTGCCTCCATCAACCATCTACCTCGCTAAAGTTTTTTTTCTTTTAATGAATGTCATTTTCAATTTATAGTGTCATGCATTCATCAAAAAGGATAAGAAATAGTAATGATAGTTTACGAGGAACAAGGAAAATTAAATCGGCTTTTGATGTAGTCAGTATAAACAGTTATTTTTTGACATAACTTTTAAGAACTTGAAAACATAAATACAAAAATTGTTTCCAGTACTCAAGGTCAATCATGATCACTTACAGCACGTCACGTCTCGGTACTTTCTACTTTAAATAGCTCTTATAATTACCGATGGCATAGACGGTAGTGACCTTCCACAAGTTTTCCATCTTCCCCAGACCAGAGCTTTATAAGGTCTGGTTTGCTGGTTGACAAAGTGACGTAATTTGTAATAGACCATTTCACAGATTCCGCGGCTCAACCTCAGCCTCGTCAGTGTGTAATATATTCTTTAGAAATTGCCTACAACCTGTGAAATTTTTAAGCGTTTAAATTGTTCGTTAATGTGTAAATTCCTTTTATTACTGCGGACTGTAGTCAAATTCTAAAGAATAATTAAACGCTGACGAGGCCGAGGTTGAGTAACGGGATCCGTGAAATGGCTTGAAATTCGAGCAGTTTTCGGTAAGTCAAACATACACCTATGTTTTCAGTGGATCTGTTTTGCCGTTGGGCAGGTTCAGTTTACCGCGCGCGTTAATTGCTTTCTCATAAAACGGATATCGTCGCATATCTTTCCAGGCTTTATAGTGGTAACTAAATCAATCATTTTCTACCTCAAGGCTTCAAGAACATTATGGAGGTCACATGCAGACCATTTTCTATTTTCTATTTTATTTTAGTTATAATTCGGGAAGTTTATATCCAGCTACATATTTCAAATAGCTAGTATAGGGTCGGGCATCTAACCCTATTTAAAAACGATTATCTCTGATTGATTTCACTTAGTATACAACACGATTGCACTGATACAACATATCCAGAATCCCTTACACACTAGCATTTCGTTTGTTTGTTAAAACTAAAATCAATGTCTCCGAATTCTTATAAAGGGAATAAAAAAATGAATAAAAGGATATTCTGGTAAGTGTAGTACAATAATGCAAATAGTTTTTGATTAATAGACTTTTCGATAAAATTCAATACCAACACCATTGTGTTGCTTGGGCGTTATTTCTGCGATGACTGAAGTGTTAGCTCAGTCACTCTGCAAGGCACTATACCGGAAGAAAAAGAATTAGCCTTAGAAAGTTGAAATTGATATTTACCGGCTCTATTGAATTACAGAGCTTCTCAATCACACACGCGAAATCGTGAAAATAGTAAATTTCGAGACATATAATATAATTTTGGTGGACGCCAATCAAAGTGCTTCTCAGCAATGTCGGAAACCCGAAGCTTGCTCAATCACACGCGTGTAATTTTACAATTTGCCATCGAAGTAGGTTTTGGTGGATGTCAATCAATGCATTTATGACATTCTATAGGCATGTGCCCTTAACTCTGTAGCTGCGAGGTGCACGCTTAATTTTTTTTAATTTTTAATTTTTTGCTGTCACCAGTCAAAAATATGAAAGGTACCAACTGATTAGTTTTGATTGATGGCATCATTGGCCACTTTTGAAACGAGTTGATGACTGGGAACGGGTTTTTAGAATCAACCTAATTGAAAAATAAACACCATAACAAGAAAGAGTACACAGAAATAAGTAAGTTTCTGGAGTTTCAAGATCTGGGGTTTAATTCATACCTTTCAGTGTAGCACTCTCCCAAACATATCAAAAATTACAAAGAAATGTATGGTTACAAGGATGCTTGTTCCTAGTAAACATACACTTCTTTATAATTTTTGATGTTTTTGATTGCTTATAATTTAGCTGTTACTTAGCCAATCGAAGCCAAACTGCAGAAAGCTTTTAATTTTGATGTGCTCTTTCTCGTCATGGAAATATTTTTAGAATAAGATGAATTATCAATACCTTCTATATACTCATTCCCAGTCCTTCACTCAATTTCGTGTATTTTGCAGTTAGAGGATGAAGGAGAATGCACACCACTGTACATTGCCATCCTAAAGAACAACAAAAAGATAGCACAATGGCTTCTTGAAATGGTGAGTTGCAAATTGCTAACTGATCTTTGAAATATGATGTCCTGCTTGTACTATACCCAGGAGATATGCGAGTTGATGCATGGATCGGTGGGATCGCGCGTGCGTGCCTTCTAATCCCTTCTTTTGCATGGCCCCTACCCAAAAGACCTTCATAGCTCAGTTGCATAAATTATTCTCCCATTTCAAACCACGCGTCATCCTCTTGAAAAACCGGGTTTTTTCCTGTTGTAACCAAATTCAACATTCATCTGTCTTCTTATGCGCAAAAGTTACAGCCTTTCTCAATCACACGCGGCGCCCTCCAGAGGTTGTTCGCGACGAAGTTATAGGTTTTGGTGGATGTCAATCGAGCCATTATATATGCAGTACCTTTGAAAGCTTTGTGTTTTCCGACAATGTTATGGAAACCCCTTTGATTGACGTCTACCAAAACTCTACTTTGTCTTGACAGGGAATTGTACGATTTTTGCGTGCGAATGAGAAGCGCTGTAAGCAAATAAAACAGTATACGCTATAGAGAATGACAAGTGATATTCAATGGAAAAACATTACGCCTATTGATAAACTCTTGAACTAAGTTCCATTCTAGGGTTCAAAACATTAGATGACGCTTTGTTGCTATAGTACCAGTACAGTAAGCCGCACATAACTCTTACAAATATGTGGCGATGTTTTCTCACTATTTCGTTCCAGGGCGCGGACAAGAAGGGAAAATCACCCGACGGAGATAAATACGTAGAGTGTGCCGAAGACGAAGAAATGAAAGCCCTCTTCAAGTAGATAGTAAGAACCACAAATCTATGATTGAAACTTGTCGTCATTAGCCTGTATAGTAATCCTGAGGACTGGGGACGTCATAGCTGGCACATCTGTGTAATGGACACAAGTCGTGATTTCATTAGTAGTGTTGTAAATAAAGTAAATATTGTATGCATGTCTAAAGAGAACGTTAATAAAGCATTTTTTCTTTCCATGTGTGTAGTTTGTTTCTGCTGAGCATTTCGGAAGAACACTTTTGATGCCCACATGATGGACACGAGTGAAAAATGTCTGCGCATGCTCTGAATCCGTATGCAAATTAGTCAAAACATAAGTAAATTTGACTTTCAAACATGCCTGATAAATTGGACTTCACAAAATGCCAAAACTTAGTGTCCATGCTCGAAACTTAAGGCTAATTCTTTCATATTGTGTTTGTTAAGACAGTATCTTGATCTGACAAAAGTATACTCTCGAACTTTTTTGTATACTTTGAGAAAACAAACATTTATTTTCTCACTCAAACTCTTCAAAATTCTTAGAAAACGTGCTG